GCATAACTCATATAACCTTTTATTGTACTTAATCTTCCAGTATTCTCACTTTCATCTATAATTTTATTATTTAATTTAATTGTAATTTTTTGAAACAAAAATGCTCCACCATTATCAGATATCATAACATTAGATTTTTCTGGATATTTAGAACCATCTTCTTGTACATATTCAAATGATAAATAAAGTTTTGAATTTTTAATGTTCAGAAATTTATCTTACCATCTACTATAACTATTGTATTTCGGTTTGGTTTATTCAATTCTGTTGTAATTTGAGGTATATAACTTTCATATTGACTATTTATATGAATGATTATGTTTTAATTTAATTTTTGTATAATAAATGGATATTAAACAAATTCAAAAAGAATTTAAAAAAAAAATTAAAAAAAATGTTACATTTGAAGATCAAACACAACACAATTCCAAGGTAGGAAATAGTTTAAAAAACACATCAGATGTAAAGATTCAGACAATAATTAATACTGAAAATAAATTACAAAATAGGTTTAAAAATGTATTATTAAAACCTAATGAAAAAGAGACTGTTATTATAAAAAAAGATGATGAAGATGAAGATAATATTAAAAAAGGAAAAAAACAATACAAATCTACAGATGTAAATAAAATAATTAATCTTAAAAAAGATTTACAGGATAGATTTAGAAATACAGTTGTAAAACAAAAACATGTACTTGAAGAACAACAAAAAAAGTTTGGACCAATAATAAACGCATTAACAAATGTTAATACAACAATGAATGTAGTTAAAGATGTAGCTATTAAAACTGAAGGAGATATTCAAAAATTAAATATACCATATTATCAACCTAGAAATCCAGAATTAAAACGATTAACAAGTTCAGAAGAGACTTTTGGAACTCCAAAATATTCTAGTCAAAAATCAACAAGTAATTCTCCATTACCTAAAAATATTATAAACTTAGGTCCTATTGCGTCAAAATATTTAAAAACTGTAAGAAATACTAATTCTTTTGGAATATATCATAATGAGAAAGATGATATTTATATGATTGGAAAAGATATAATCAATCTTGATAATGATGATATAACTTTAAATGGAAAAAGATATATAGGAACACCAGGTTTATTGAGATTATTAACTCATCAAATTCCTACACCCAAACAATTTTATAATGATGATGATTTTAATATTTATAAAAATATATTATTTGAAACTAATTCTATATATCAAAACAATGATCCTTCAACGAAAAGAGCTAAATCAAGTCGTAGTTAAAAATATAAGGATATGATCAGTTCGATTTGGAAAGAAATGACAGAAACAACTGATAAGAAAAAAATTAATAAAAAGAAAGAAAATAATGAAGATAATCAAATAGGGGAGGGTTTAAAGAAATACACAGAAAATCGTATTGAATATCGTTATATTAGTAATGTAAACCTAGTGATAGATAATTTACAGTTTATTTCTTCAGAAGAAAGAGCTGGAAATAATAATTTTAAAAACGAAAAACTTGGTATTGTTCATTTTTTTAAATCAATTATGGAAAATCTTATTGATACTCCTGAAGGTATTGAATATTTACTAAAATATGTAACTTGTTCACCAAGGGAAGTAAAAAATATCAAAAAAAAAATAATTAAACGTATACAGTATATATCAATTGAAGAAAGTATAGGAAATAATATATACCATGATGAAAAACTTGATATTCTTAATATTTGTATTAGAGAAATGGATAAATTAATTGAAAAACCTATTAACGGTGCAGATTATTTATCACCATATGTTTCATTTTTACCAAAGAAATTTATTACAGGTTCAGGAATTGTTAATTTTCTTTTGAATTGTTCAAATTTACCTGAAATGCATTGGCCTGGTTATTATTATTTAGGACCGGGAACAAAGTTAGAAAAAAATAAAAAACCTAAAAACAAATTAGATGAAGCTGCGAGAGAACATGATTATTTTTATAAAGATAATAAAGATACTAAAACAAGACATATTGCTGATAAAACTTTAGAAAAAAAAGCAATGGAAAGATTTTATGATCCTCATAGTTCTATAGGTGAAAAAACTGCAGCCATTTTTACAGCAAATGTAATGAATGTTAAAAGACGATTTGGAATGAATTTAATTTAATTTAATTTAATTTAATATTTTGTATTATAAAATGAATCTAAATTTAAATAAAGAACAATTTAATAAAATATTGAAAGCTCATAAAAATAATAAAGATGTATCAATTCTAATTGAAAATAATCAAATTGATAGTGGAAAACATAAATTTATTCTTGAGCCAGAACAAATAAGAAAATTAAAAAACGCTAAAAAAAATAATACCGGATCAAGTTTAGAACTTAAACATGTTCAAATTAAAAAAGGTGGATTTTTACCAATAGCTATTGCTGTGGTTGAAGGTGTAAGTGCTTTGGCTGCAGGTGCAAGTGCACTTTATACTGCAGTAACTGATGCTAAACATAAAAAAAAAATGGAACAAGAAACAATTCGACATAATAAAGAGATGGAAAAAATTAGATCACAAGGTTCTGGCTTGAAAAAAAAAAAAAAAAATATTGAAAAAATGAATAAATTTGAAATAACAACATTTAGGAATAATATTGAAAAATTTGAAGGTATTTATACACGGTTTTGGATTTAAAAAAAATAATGTAAAAATTGATCCATTGAGTAATATAGATATAAATTATTTTGGAAATAAAATAAAAAATTATAGAGGGTGTTTTATGTTAAATGAATTACCTACAACACCATGGGAAAATGAATGTGGAGTATTTAATTTAACTCAAAATGGTTCTCATTGGGTTGCATGGAAAAAAATAAACAATACATTTAAAATATATTTTGACCCATTTGGTCATATAGTTGGTGAGCCACCAAAAGAACTTTTAAAATATTTGGGTAAAGATAATCTTTTTTGTACTGTTTCCCAATTTCAATACTATAATGATCCACCTATATGTGGTCATTTGTGTTTAGAATTTATTGGAAATTATAAAAAATGTATTTAAATATTTTATTTTTTTTAATAGAAATTTTTCTATTAAAAAATAACAACTTGTTGAATATATATTTAGTTAACGAGTTAACGAGTCAACGAGTTGTTAACTCGTTGACGTTGTTTTTTTACGTTAACTCGTTGACTTATATTTTTTTTACGTTAACGATGTCTTTTTAACATCTTCGATTATTTTTTTTTATTTTTTTTATTTTATTAGCAATTGTTTTTTCACAATTAATATTTCCACATTCATATTCTTCATCTGTATCATCGTTTTGTGGAGTTAGACTATATGGCATAAAATGATGATTCGAAATTATATCAATTGATAACCATAATTTATCTTTATTATCTATGTAGTTATAGAAATTAAACCACAATGTGTTCTCATAATCATCAATAAAATTATTATTAAAATTTTTAATAAATTGGGATATTGTAATTTCAGACTTTATCATACCAAAACATTCCCATTGATCCCAAGTTGGAATATAATCACCACGAACTTGAGAATACAAAATAGGAAATATCCAGTTTTTTCGAAAATCAATAAATTCAGATATTGCACCTTGATCCCAATCATGACTGCAATAATACATTGCTCATATCGGTATTATTTCTTCCATTTCTTCCGATGTAAAAGTATTTTCTTGATTATTGTACTTTATTTGTAATATTTTATTAAATTTATTGAATATTACACATGATTTGCGAACGATTCCGCTTTATTTTGCTCATGTTTGTAAATTTTATGCTTCACTTCATATGGACCAAATTCGTTTTTTACATTATTAGCATCTATCGTTTTTTTTTATAGTTTTTGGCGAAGATAATTCATTTATTTGATTTTTATTTTCCATTACTATTATTTATTATAAAAAAATAAAATTTTTTAAACATCGAAAATTTAAATCGAATATAATACTTACGAAGTATTATATATATAATATTATAGTACCTATACAGTGTGGTATAATAATAATAATAATAATAATATATATATACATTAGGGTGGTCCTTATATACATAGGTGATATATTTTATTAAATATATTTTAATCCGTACCCACTGGATTTGTTAAGTTACATGAGAAAGTAATTTGGGTAAAATTTGGAAGGTATTACTCAACCCTTTCAGGTGCCGATTTAGGGTTGAAAATGGCCGAAGAATGTAGTTTAATTGTTTTTCAAATTTATTATAAAAACTATAGCACCTAGCATAAAAATGTATGGAATCTTAATTATAGAGCGTAACTATGTCTATAAAAAGTAATAAAACGAAATTTTTTGTAAATTCATTATTTTCTAAGAAAAATATTAATAAAACAAAAATAAAATGTTTTTTTGACAAAATCGATTTTTTCAATTATTTTTTAATCATACCGTCATAAAGATACTTATTATCGTTGATTATAAATAGATTACGGTTCACTGGCCGATATTTCAATAAAATATAATCTACAATTGTTGATATTATTTATGTTTCAATTATTATCGTATATATGAATTTATTTTCAGATAATAATAATATACTGATTATTCGTAGATAGACGTTTAATACTAACGTATTTAATCCTTACGCCATTACGGTTCGACTGTCTCACGAGAGCATTGTTCTATGGTAGTGTTTAATGTTTAAAATGTCACGAAATAAAATTTTTCTAGTCGGTACTATGAATAATCAAATTACAGGTAGTAAATTACCTTCAAAACGAAACTGTTTAAGTGTTTTATACTATAATATGCGAAATGTACATTTAAATTTGAACTCGAGTGCCTTGCTAACTATTGACGAATGTTTAATATACTGGAAGAAGGCACGAATTCCAAATCAAGATCGTGATAATTGTGCAAAAAAGTTGAAAAAGTTGTATGAAGAGTTACGCAGTTTAGAAAAAAATAAAACTAAAATTGGAAATTTATATCGACTGAGAGAAAAACAATTTGAAGAAACATTGGATGATTTATTTGACATCGCACATTCAAATGCAATGAACACAATTAAAATTGATGAAGACAAAGAATTTTTATTATTACAACGACATAAAGGACGTGTTGGATGTATGCTTGGTAGAGATGTAAAATTAGCTGAAAAAGAACAACGAAAAGCCACACGGAAAGACGCAGAATATAAAAGAAAAGATTTACAACAAAATTCTGGATATTTAAAAACTGGTAATCAATATTTGTTTAAAATCATAACTACTTACATTTTAGATTATATTGTATTTATAAATATAAATTATTTTTGTTTTAGCAAATATTTTGAATGAATTTGATTCTGACACATCTGAGTTTGAAGAAACAATAATTGAAGAATCTGAAATTGAATTAAATATTCCGTCTTCAAGTACTTCAGTTAAAAAACGAGCAAGAAGAGACATTTTGACACCTCGCCTTTCAGCATGTCTTGACAAATGTAAAATAAGCGATAGAGACGCTGTTCATTTAATAACAGCATGCATTGAAGCAGTAGCATTAGATACAAATGATTTTGCAGTAAACCGAACGTCAATAAGAAATGCCCGAAAAATATTTAGAAAAAACAACACAAGTAACATAAAATCTAAGTTTATTGATCTTAATTTAAATTATGGTATTGTACATTGGGACTCTAAGATTCTGCCTACTTTAGTTGGAAAAGAAAAGTGTGATAGACTTCCCGTTGTTATAACGTCCCTAAAAACTGAACAGCTTTTGGGGGTTCCTCACCTTTCAAGTGGCACGGGCAATGAAATAAGCTCGGCAGTATATGATGAATTAGAAAGCTGGGGATTATTAGAAAAAATACAAGGATTCGTGTTTGATACTACAGCTTCCAACTCTGGTAGATTAAATGGTGCTTGCGTTCTATTAGAGCAAAAATTAGGAAAAAATGTATTATTTCTAGCTTGCCGCCACCATATTTTCGAAATAATATTACAAGCAGTATTTATTGAAGCTAAATTTGCACCATCATCTGGCCCAGATATACCACTTTTTAAGAGATTTGTTAATAATTGGAAAAATATTAATAAAAACGAATACTCGGTTTGGACTGATGATTCTATGACTTTCGATATATTAAATAACGTTCGCGATGAAATATTAGATTTTGCAGAAAAACGACTTCAAGATTGTTTCCCCCGTGATGACTACAAAGAGTTTTTGCAACTTATTGTAATATTTCTCGGAGGAAAACTTAAGGGAAATGTTAATTTTCGGCAACCTGGAGCTTATCATTTGGCACGATGGATGGCCAAGGGTATTTATTCATTAAAAATTTTATTATTTAAAAATCAATTTAAATTAACTTCTACAGAAGAAATGTCACTTAAAAAAATTAGTTGTTTCATTATAAAATGTTATGCTGAAGTGTGGTTCACTGCTACAAACGCAATAAAGGCTCCTATTAATGATATACTTTTTATAAAAAAATTATACAGTTATAAAAACGACGACAAAAAAATAGCTGAAACTGCATTAAAGAAATTTATAAACCATTTATGGTACCTTAGTGATGAATGTGTGACATTTTCTATTTTTGACAACCGTGTTACCATTGAACAAAAAAGAAGAATGGCAATTAAAATGTTAACGAATGAGCTTGAAGAGTATGAACAAGTAGGAGAAGTTAAAAAAAAGCATTTATTGAAAATTGAAGACATCCCTAATTTCATACGCCAAGATTTACCAGTTGATTTAATTACAAATAAATCAATAAAATTGTTTAATAGATTTAATATTCAGACTAATTTTTTATCACTGGATCCAATATACTGGGAAGAAAATGAAGAGTATAAAAAAGGAAAAGAAATAGTTGGATCATTAAAAGTCGTTAACGATACCGCTGAACGCCATGTTAAGCTGATGGAAGAATTCAATTCGAAAATTACCAAAAATGAAGAACAAAAGCAGTTTTTGTTGCAAGTAAATAAATTTTTTCAATAACTATTTAAGCTAATATTAACTTTTCTAAATTTTTTACAGACAGTTCAAGATTATCGTAGAAAGTATCCTAATCACAACCGCGAAACGATGAGTAAACCATATCAATTATGAGTATAAATATCATTATTATTATTATTAAAATTTTTTTTTGTTTTTTGTCTTTTAATATTTTTCTTGGAAAATAATGAATTTACGAAAAATTTTGTTGGATTACTTTTTATAGACATAGTTACGCTTTATAATTAAGTTTCTATAAATGTTTATGCTAAGTACTATAGTTTTTCAATAAATTTGAAAAACAATTAAACTACCCTCTTTTGCCATTTTTCAACCCTAAATCGGCACCAGAAGGGGTTGAGTAATGTGTTCCAAATTTTACCCAAATCAATTTCTAATGTGACTTAATAAATCTAGCTGGTACGGACCAAGTATAATTAAGTTTAAAAAATAAGGACCACCCTAATATACATATATAGTGGGCCAAAAATATCGTTGAATAATTTTATTGTATGTCTTGTCTATGCCTAAGTGTCCTGATAAAGGGTGATCATGGAAATCGTTTAAAATTTCATTTTTACAGTTTTCTGGTTTCAATTTAAACCCTGTTTTTCTAATTCGATCTAATAGTTTTTCTAAAATTATTAGTATCTCTTCAAATGTTTTTGCATAATTTACGATATCGTCTACATAATTAATGGTGCCCAAATAAAGTAGTCCAGAGAGAGCAGTAGCCACAGCTTTAGAAAACTGTCTTGGAGAGTTTTTATATCCAAATGGAAATCTTGTCCACTCATATAATCCAAATGGGGTGATAAATGCTAATTTATATCGGTCTGTTTTACCCAGTAGAATGTTCAGAAATCCCTGCTGCATATCCATTATGTTGAAATATTTCGACCCTTCTAGACAATCGAATATTGTTTGTATATTTGTGATTGGGAAATTCTGATGAGGTACTTGTTTGTTTATTTGTCTATAGTCGATTACTAATCTTTTTGTCTTATCCGCCTTATTAACTAAAAATGCTGGGCTAGCATATGCTGAATTAGATGGTATAATTAAAACTGCTTTTAAAAGTTTGTTGACTTGTCTTTGTAACTCATTTTGTTCGCATAATGCCAATCTATATGGTGGTAAATTTACTGGGTCATCAGTTAATGTGGGTATTGGTATATCTCCAATATCAATGGATCCTAGGTCCATGTCGTGTTGCGCGAAACAATCCGCGAATCTTATCAATATATTTTTTAGTTTTACTTGTTGATTTGTTTCCAATTCAGGGTTAATATCAAATTCAATTTTTTTACTATCTATTAAATTTGTTATGTTACATATTGTTTTATTGTTTTCGTTATTTTTTACGAGTGTGTTTTGTAATATTGTCTGAGGTAATATTGTGTCAGCAAAATGTTCATTCATGTTTTCAAATTCTTGTTCTACATAATGTGTTAACTCATCAAATCCGTTTTGTGTAATATCCACTCCGTCGTATTTTATATTTATTGTTGATGAATCACTTTTTTCCGGAGTTTTTGCTATTGACTTGCATTCTATTTTGTGTTCGGGCTCTAATTCATAAATTCTTATTGTAATATCTGTATTTTGAAACGTGAATTTAATCATTTTTGAAATTAAGTCCCATTCTTTTTTATCTAACCCCGAACAAACCTTGGGTAATCCCAAATTATGTATTGACTGATTTATGCAAAACTGTTTTAAATTTTGTAGTGTGTTAAAAATGTCTTCATAGGTGGGTTTATCATTATATGCGTCTTTTGTTATTAAATATAAAATCCATTGTTTATTTTTCTTTAAAAATGCTATTTCTTTAAGTTTTTTATTCTGTGCTTTTAATACGTCTACATCTTCGAATCTTTCTTTAAATTGTTGTGCAATCCCTGCCTCCATTTTGAAGTCTTTACTGACTCAATGTGCAATGGCATCATTTATTTGTTCAGTGAATATATTACCTATAATGTCATGGTATCTACATTTGGTTCTATATGTTTCAGAATTTTGTAATAGAAATTGTTGAAAATTATTTTTTTGCTTATTTTGTGTAATATTGTTTGTGTCTTGTAAGGTATTTCTTGGTTTGTCTTCCTGCTCTATTTTTAATTTTACTTCAGTTCCTTTATATTTAAACGTTACTAAATTATTTTTTAAATCTAAAATTGTGTTAATTTTTTCATTATGTCCAATCCTATTATTACTGGTGTACATAGATTGTCAACTATTATTATTTTATGATTTATTACTATGGTTCCTATTTTTATCTAAGCCACAGTTTTTCCTAGAATGTTTAGTTTAGAATTGTTCGCCGTCTCAAGGTATAGTTCGCTTTCGGAAGTTAATTTATTACATTTAATAGTATTTTTGTTTATAACAGTTACACTCGCCCCTGTATCTAATATTAACGTAGTAGTTTGGTCATTTATTTTTCCTTGTATTTCTATTTTGATTTTTTCTTTATTATTATCATAATAAGTATAAATAGTATTATTTGTATTTGTATTTTTGACGATATTTAAAGGTATCTTACTGGTAATGTATTGGTGTTCCTGTGCAGACCCAGTTATCTGCGGAACTATTAGTTTTTTTTGTACAAAGGTATTACAGTTTCTCTTTATGTGTCCCGGAATTCCACACAGAAAACATATCGGTGGCCCTTGTTGATTTAAATAATTATAATTAGTATGGGGAATTGTTGCCTGATTACTTTGTGTAGGGCGTAGTGTGTTGGCTAATTGGTTATTATTTGTATTATTATAATTATAATTTTGATAAAAGTTTGGTCTAGGAAACTGGGTGTTTGTCATCTGGTTATTATGTGTGAGATAGTTGTAATTCGGATAAAAGTTTGGTCTTGGATTATTTTGATAATATTCATTTTGATTATTAAATATAGGTGGTTGGTAGTGTTGATTTCTATTATAAAAGCTGAATCCATTGTTATAGCTAGTTTGCTCTTCGTTCTGATAATTGTTGATACTATTGGGAATGTTATTTTGGGTTTGTCCAACTTTAATTTGACTTATATGATTTTTTAAAACCTCCATTTCTCTAGTCAATTTCTCTACTTCTCCATTTACCTTGTCCTCCGTTCTCAATAGATTTGTTACTTCTAATTTCTCTAGAGTTTTTTGATGCTTGCGATCGATGTATTATCTGCTAACCTTATTAACTGAAAGGTTTCTTTGGGTACTCCTTTTAGAATGTGTTCACATATTTCTTCTTCGGTCATATTCTTGTTTATTTTATAACATATGCCTACTATTTTAATTATGAATTCTTTATATGTTTCTCCTTTTGCTAGTTTCTGATTTTCCAATTTTCCCTTAGTAAGTGTTTATTTCCTACTAATGTAAATTCTGTTATTAATTCACTTTTGACTTCGTTCCATGTTATATTTTCGTTTTTTGATTTTAGTTGTTCAAAAAAATCTTCTGCTGAGTCCTTAATATATAGTTGTAGAATAATTACTTTGTGTTCGTCGTTCCATTCGTTCACGACAGCTATAAGTTCAAATTTTTTTTATGAATTTATCAATATCCTCGTTTTCTTTTCCTGAGAAAATATCGGGTTTATGGTTAAACGCCATTTTTATACTTTGTTTATTTTTTAAAGATTTTTTTGAATTTTTTTCAATAATATTCTTAGTGTTGATCTGTTCACCCGAAGTATTATTGTGGGTTTCTACCTTGAAATGTATAGGATCTGCTGTTAATATATTTTTTTTAATATCTATATTTTCTGGTTCAGTTTTTTTTTGTATTAGAATCGTCTTCAACAACAGTTACGTTCAATAAATATTGATCACTATTTTGTAAATTGTCCTCTGTAAAAGTTAATTCTGTTTCGTTTAAGCTATCCTCAGCGTCGTCTTCGTCGTTCCTAAAACTTTTTAATGCTGATTTTGCAAGATTTCTTAATTCATTAATTGTCGATGAAATGTCACTATGTATATTACAAAATTCTAAGAAACCCACTATTTCCGATTTATTTAATAAATTTATCCACGCAACTGTTCGCTGGGAAATTATAAATTCAAATTTCTTTTGTGCTGGTAATTGGTTAAAATCTTCCTTTTCTAAAGTCTCAACTACGTATAGAGAGCACAGTGTAAATTTTTGAACAAGTTTTGCTGACAGAGGTATCTTTCCAAACCTGGAATTTGAAAAATAGTTACCTAAATCGACTTCTTCGATTTGCCGTAATAAATGTATTAGATTAATTTCGTTTATTTCGGAACTAAAAGTTTCATTCAGATATAATATATTTGTTCTATCCACTTTTGTTATTTGGTTGTTCACGTTACGTTTTATGTAAAACTTGTTGTCCATTAAATACTTTTATTTATCGCAACATTGCTTAATATGTTCACTTACAATAAAATAATTCTCTTATAATTTCTCTATTATGTACTATTTTGTAATTTACTCCTATTCTTAAAACTTAAAATCTCGTAACTATCCAAACAAAAAATGCAATTAGGTACTTAATTTTTATTTTTACAATATAATTTCTCTGATAACAAAATCCCTATATGTAATTTACTCCTATTCTTAAAGCTTAAAATCTCGTAACTATCCAAACAAAATTCAACTACCTAATTTTTATTTTTACAATATAATTTCTCTGATAACATAACCCCTATATGTAATTTACTCCTATTATTAGAACACAAAATCTCGTAAATATCCAAAAAAAAAATGAAATGAAAATTAAAATTATAAGGTACCTATACATAAATTTTCTAATCCCGTAATTCTTTCAATTCTTTTACTCTTATTCTTAATACTTAATATTAATCATGTATATCATTAATCTTAAATAATAAAAAAAATCTCAATTATTCTTAACACGGCTACACTTTAATTTTATTATTTTCCTACGCTTCAATTAACCAAACTTAATAACTAATAACAAAATAAAAATCTAAACCAATCGTAAATATCTGTAACTTCAACTACTTAAGAGCTTCGGCGCCTCCACCAATATCGGGGATGTCGGGGATGGCCCGTTAAATATAAGATATTCAGGGAAGAAATTAATTCTTTTGAATATATTTTTACCGTAGCTCGGGAGCACGAATGGTATTAGGATCTTAATATTACAAATAAATAACGATTGATCTAAATTATTATTAATGTAAACAAATTATTTATTATAACTTACAATTTACGAACAAAGTTACCAAAAATGTAGGATTGTACGGAGTTCAGGTGCACGTGATGGACTCGCGGAGAACTGGTATTCTCTTACATAGGGATATTGGCCGGAGCCTTACAATCATAAAATATATATGCGTCACCTAAACCAGAGGGGGTTAATATATTATTACAGTCAGCGCATAATATGCCTAATGTGCATATTATGATGCTTATAAAATAAACTTAATGATGTAACATACGTTACAAGTTGATTATAATTTTCAAAAAAAATTTCCAAAGATTCCACAATTGCTCTCTCTTCTGCTTGTTCGGTGAAAGTATGCAGGCACCGAGTTGTTACGCGTTCCTCACAACTGCCCATAAAATAAATTTGGAGAAACTTTGGATCATCATTAGGCATTGGCATTAATGACCCAATCTTGTGGTACACTTGGTCTTGGATTTTGAACGTAGTTACAAAATTATTTCCATCAGATGTGAGGTCGCAAATTTTAGTTGCGCCAAAGGACGTCATTTGGAAGCAAGAATTCAATTTGCTTATCTTACGTAAAAATAATTTCGAATCGTCTGATTCGCCAGCAAGAAATGATTTTAAAGGTTCCGGTGGAATAGGAAGAGGTGCCAGTACAACTTTTCCAGATGCACAACACATACCAATCGTTTCATTGCGGAATTTTAACGCTTGACAATATTAGCATATTTTATTCATTGCACCAATTATAATTTTAGTATGTGCAGAGTAATTGATATCTGGTGCATATTTGAACGCAAGGCAAACGAATGATGCACGTGTTAATGCACGGTTGGTTTGTTGTCGCTCTCTGTCAAGTTCTCTAAATGTGGCTATGTGCCGTTCTCGCGCCGATCTTGTTCTCAATATATTTTGTCGAAGACGTTCATCACGCTGTTCTCGAGACTCTTGTCTGCGAATTTCTGCTGTTCTGATTTGTTGAGCTGCGTTTCTTGCTGCAATTTGTTCTTCCGATTCATGAGCTCTATTAGCACGCATACGTCGTGCATGTTTACTATACTGATTGTGTAGGTCAGTGGCGGCTACACAAAATTTTTCAGGTGTTGCTCAGTATTGAAAAACAATTGTTGACCCCCCCCCCCTCCACCAACTAATCATGTGATTTTCCCAATCATCAATTGCCATACACTTTCAATATTTTTAAGACAGCGTTCCTTAAGTATTTAAGAAAAATTGTTTAATGATTGCCATTATATATATATTATATGATAAATTATATATTTTGATAACACTATACAGCTACAAAAATATTTCTTGCCAAAGATTAATATAAAATTAATAAATACATGTTTTGTTTATTTTTTATTTGTAGCATAATTTTATAAAATATTAAAATACGAAATACTTATTTATCAGTTATCATTAAAGTAAAATGTAAATACTTTTGATTTTATTATAAATATTTGGCTAATACAGTACTTTGCTGTGCAACATTTTTTAAGATATCTTCATGCTGCACTTCAATATCTCGTTCACAGCTAATCATAATAAGATCTACCAGTCTCTCCTGTGACATTGTTGTTCGAAGTCTGGTTTTCACTAATTTTAGTTTAGAAAATGATCTTTCTGTAGATGCACTGGTTACTGGAAGAGTTAATGCTATGAGTAGACTGGTGTTTAATGTTGGAAAAATACCAGATAACCGACTATCCTGAAATGTTTTGAACACTGTCTTCATACTATCCATGTTATATGGATTCAATACTCTTCTTTTATGGAAGTCGAATATTTCATCAAGATTTTCATCAACTTCGTATTCATCTTCCGTTTCTGAAGTAGAAGAAAAACTAGCTGCTGCGTGTAGATTTGTTGGTAATAATTTAGTGTTTTCAAACTTATCATATATAAGACAGAAATGCAGATATTCTTTTGTTAATAAATCACGATCTAAAAATTTATGATATACAGCACATAATTTTTCAAATGAGTCTTCTGGCATTGAGTTGCGATTATTTTTTATTTCGATAATTCTTCTCTTTGAAAACAATGATAAATCTTTATAAATACCAATAACATCATCATTAAAATACTGTTTTATGCTATTTAATGTAACATCTAGTGAAACCAAAAATGTGTCAACTTCGAATAGCTGTATTGGATCTAATATCGGCTCATCACATGCTTTTTGTCCAGATAATTTTTTTTTCCGACGACTACGTTTTGTTTTTATGTCTTCAAATTCAAATGTTTTGTTGTCTTTTGTATAATTGTTAACTTCATTAATTAAGCTTTCAAATAATATATCAGATTCTTTGTTTCGAGCATTTTGTAATGTTTTTTGCGCTTCACAAATAACCCTTACAGCTGCTAAAAGATCTAAATCTTTAGTCTGTAGAATTGAATTTAAAGGTGCTAAAATATTAAAAAGTTTTTTGAACCAAAATCCTGACATTAAAAATCTTTTGGAGAGTAAATAATCCATCAGGCATCCTGCCATATGGTTTGCAGTATGGTCATTACAATCTTCAATCTGTCTGCTGTATTCTAAGGTTTCTATGACAGACTCAAATGTACTTAGAACTGATTCCAATGCATAATCATGCGACATCCATCGTGTTGTTGAAACACGCTTCAAACGCCTACCTTGTTTTGTGGTTGAGTATTTTTTTTGAGCAGCTTCATAGTATGCAACTCTCTTTTTACTTCCGCTAATAAAATTGTATAATGCTTCCAAATTGCCAAAAAGGTCAACCGCATCAGAGCTACAACCCACAGCTTTTGTAACGATTAAATTAAGTCTATGGGCACAACACCATATAAAAGTTGCTGTTGGACATTTATCATTTATTCGAGATTGTAAACCTTTGTATTCACCTCTCATGTTTTGTGCTCCATCGAAAGATTGTCTAACTAAATAATTTAACCAGTCAAGACTTAACTCATTACATATAGTTTCAAAAATGTTGAACATACTTAACCCTGTAGTACTAGGAGAGTCTTTCAATGCTACTAGACGTTCATTTATATTTCCATCTTCTGCTACATATCGAATAATGAATGAAATTTGTTCCTTTCTTGATAAATCGAAGGTAGAATCCATTGATATACTAAAGAATTTAGCTTCTTTTATTTCTTTCATTATAAAACTTTTAATAGTAGTAGAAATAGAGTGAATAAGTTGATTTTGTCTTAACTTTGATGTAAAATTTACTTCAGGTTTTTTCATAGTTTCAAGTTTTGCTATATAAGTGGCAAGAGGAGGAGAATATTTTGCAATAATCTTAGTGAGATTCAAAAAGTTTCCCCGATTCCCAGTGTAAGATGAATTTTCACGGTGACCTCGAAATGCAATGCAATTTTTTGCTAAAAAAAAAGTTATGTCGATTAAACTTCTTACTACTTCTCGGTTCATTGCTTTTTCTTGCTGTTGTTTTTCCACTAACAGTGGAATTATGGGCAAAGAAGTTTGGTACAGTTTAAACTTTAATGATGCTTCTACATGTGACTCCGAACATTCATGTTGTACAATACTATGTAATGCTCTAACCCACACAGAAAAACCATTCTTTGTCCATGCTTTTTGTTGATTTTTCCCAAAAAGTATGCAGTGATGACAGTACAAATTGTTGTTTGAAATTGAATAGCTAAGCCAGTCTCTTTGAACATAACGATTTCCTGGTAGTTGTTTCCAAAACCAAGCTGTTTGGAAGCTACGATTATACTTATCCCTGGGAAATTGTTTTTGAGGTAGATCTTGAACAACAGGTTGCATTGGACCATTTTTTACTAAGAATTGGATCATTGCTGGAGGTAAACTATAAAGCATACAAAACGTAGCTGGGTCATTAGAAAGTCTTGCTTTTTCTTCAGTGTCCTCTTTTTCAATGTTTGAACCTACAATATGTAAAGTTATCTAAAATTAAATGTTTTTAACTATAATAGTTCTATAAAGTTATTAATGAATCTTACTAATTTATCTATCTTTCACTACTAACTATCATGCAAAGCAGAATTTCAACAGGAATATAAAAAAACCGCAACAATTAGTACAAACATAGGATCAATAATTTAAATATGCATAGTATTGAATTGAACTGTTAAAAATTACATACATTTAAAAAGGTAGGATAGTATTTTAGCTATATCTAATTGACAATTTACTATTAAAACATTTATATTAGGCACTTTCAAAAATAATACTTGATTATGATATTAGGTTGCCTGGTACTATACTATTAGGATACACCTCTAAATGATTCTTTATATTACCAAAATATATAGTTTCACAAGCCAGTAGATACCGAAGTTGTTTGATCTAGATAAAATATTTAAATAATATAAATAATTAAATAATTAGGTTTAAAATACTCCTACTATTACTTACATACATTATATGTTGTATACATCGGAGGAAATAACACTAATAGTATTAATATATTGTATTTTAGTATTAAATTTTAAATAACACAATTTCCAATTATAAAACAAATATCAGTGTTAAAAAAAAATAACTATCACTAAACTAGTCTCTAGATAGGCAATTTATTTAAATAAACAACTATACAAACATGAAACATGCAACACATAAGGACATTAAACATAAATTGATGAACATAATACACAGGCCACTTTGGTAAATATATTAATACAATACCATCTGATGTGCTGGGCATTGCCACTTGAAAGTCCAACACATTATTTTCATTATTTATTGTTTCACTTGGAGACTTGCATTTTGTAACAATTTGTTCTAAAATATATGGTTTTGTTAAAAATTAATTTATACAATTTGCTAAATATATTAATACAATACCATCTGATGTGCTGGGCATTGCCACTTGATAGTCCAACGCATTATTTTTATTATTTATTGTTTCACTTGGAGACTTGCATTTTGTAACAATTTGTTCTAAAATATATGGTTTTGTTAAAAATTAATTTATACAATTTGCTAAATATATTAATACAATACCATCTGATGTGCTGGGCATTGCCACTTGAAAGTCCAACACATTATTTTCATTATTTATTGTTTCACTTTGAGACTTGCATTTTGTAACAATTTGTTCTAAAATATATGGTTTTGTAAAAATAAATTTATAACGTATACAATAATTTCACATTGGTAAATATATGAATATAATACCATCAGCTGATGTCTGGGAACTGACACTTGGAAGTCTATCACATTATTTATTGTGGACGTAGGTGTTTGATCTAGAATACAATACGTACATTATTGAACAATTAGGTGGTTTAAAATATAATTTCAAGTAAAAATATATTTAACAAAACTTACTATCATTTGATGTTTGAATATTAGGACCAGTGACAACAAAATATTTATTAATATTTGAACTGTGATTAGTAGTTATTTTCCTTTTTTTACACGAATGAATGTGAAGATTATAATTATGTTTGTTCATTAAACTAAGATTTTTACCACACGTGCATATTTTAAATGTTGGTCGTGACGACATATTTAGTTTACTTTTAAAATTAAGCCTCCGTAATCGTAAAAAGCATTAATACTTAGTAATCAAGTAAAAGTATCAATAGAACCTAATAATTTTCACTTGTATCATAAAAAATTAAAAATAACAGAACAATAGAAAATTATAACACATGAACAATTATGTTTTTAATTTTTCGACTTGCAAGTTGCAGAATAAACTCTATAAAGATGTATACACTAACAGACACAAATGACGAAAGTAATATTGTAGACTCCGGACTCGGTAAATAGGTAAAATAATTATATACTTATCTATGGTTAAAACCATGAGTGTACCTATAAATAACCGACAGAAGACTGAAAGATAATATGGATAGTGCGATTATCACGACAACTTACTATCATCATGACCATATAATCATAATAGACAAACAACAATAGTACCACGCTGGCACAACACTACCACAGTATAGAATATTAAACAATGTTTTCTGTGGATTGTGATTATACATAAAACATAACCTAACCTAACTTTATAAGTACTTTTAAGTAGGCATAAATGGTATAATCAATGAGACATCAGAGTATCAGACAAATGACAATGACAAATACAATAAACTGGTAACGACGTGCAAAATTGTACCACTTGAAAGCACTACCCTACAACTTACTCCCCAGGTCTAGATCTAAGAGGACACCCCCCCTTATTTCAAGGTGTTGCTTGAGCAACACCTTGACCATAGGATAGCCGCCACTGGTGTAGGTTAGATTTCCGCGGCATTATACTAAATTTAAAAAAAATTAAAGAATATTTAATACTGAACACTGCACAATAATAACACAATACCAAGTATTTATGGTTAGTGTGTAGGTAAAGTAAAATACGAAAACACTAAACCGATACAAATTAAACTGTATCAATAAAATAACAAACAAACTCGAGACGGCGCGATTAACTCGATAATGACTGACTCGGTCAGATTGTGGCGCTTTATATTAACTGATGAATACGTCGTACCGAACTTCGCATTTTATACCTTTGAACATTTCTCGAAAATTCTATAACTTTCTTTATTACAACAATTGCAATGCAAAAAATAATATTGAGATAAAAACTATTGTAATGGGATTAAGTAATATCATGTATTTGCTCATAAAAACAACCAGGAATGCGACCACACCCAAAAGTGTTTACGACTAGAATACCACTTTTAGTCGTGAGGTCCGAATCATATCAAGGACGACTGTACACGCGCTACCCGTTTTCAAAGGACGCCGCCACCATATATATAGGGGACAGCGAGACAGCCTGAGTAGATGTACCAGAACCGCCAAGACCGAGCGGGCCGCTTAGCCACCAGCCATTACACACAACTTACATGGAGATTATCGACTACTACAACGAGTCAACTCACGACGCTGCAATTCACCACGACTATATTAATTATTATTGGTTTTAATAAATTACAATTAATTTATATTTAAATTGACTACATTTTATTGTAAAAGTGCAACAGCTTTTGGATCCCTGAAGGGCCGTTTGTAACACTATCCTATATATTTATTACAATAATTGCAATGCAAAAAAAAATATTGAGATAAAAACCATCCTATATATTATGGAGATAATCCTCGGAACAATTCATATCTACACGCCGCCGACGATAAAACACACACAATAGAAAAAAAGGTCAGATTACAGGTAGCTATATAGATACTGTCGCGGTCGGTCACGGGAAAACCCGAAATACACCATGCAATTATACACATTTATTAAAAAGCTAATTAAAATATTTAAAATATTAAAAAAATTTAAAAAAAACTATCCTATATTTTAAGTTGTACCAAATTACACACGGTGTAAAAAATTTCATCAAAATCGGTCCAGTAGTTTCGGAGATTATCGCGAACATACATCGTGACACGAAATTTTTATATATACAGATACGTTTTAGGATATTATGTATTTTTTTTATACAGGCAGTAAACATTATTGAATATTTTTATAAATTAAAACATTTTTACGTAAAATAATATTGCACGTATAATACAACTACTTATCACATTATCACTAGCAAATATTTATAATCAGCGAAAGTATTTTAACGTTGATAAAAAAAGGTTTGGCTGTTGTCGGCGCCGATACGTATATTTTTTTGTTAGGTATATTAAATAAATTCATAAAATGTGTATACAAGATTTCAATCAAATTATTTAAGAACCTAGGTATTAATTAGGTTAATTAGGTATCAGTTCTTATCTACATCTCGTCAAAACCTGTGTGACCGGTGAAATTAACTACCGGTGATTTTTACTGGGAAGTTATAATCGCCGGGAGTAATTATTTCCTAAGCTAGCAGGCGATTATTACTCCCTATATATTTAAACTCCACTTTATTTGGGGAGTAATAATCGCCGGGAGTAATTTTTACAGGCGATTTTTACTCTCGGGAGATTTTGTACTGGGGGAGTAATAATTATTGGGAGTTAATATTTCCATACTAACAGGTAGTGTTGGGCAACGATATAGTTTTCTGGGCTACAACTCATTTGCGCACATTTACCTTTTTTACAACTCCACAAAACCATAACTCATTGCGCACATTTACGAAACAATAGAAACCTTTTTTTCCAAGAATTTTATCGCGTATAGGGTGTACATAAACTCCGTACCACCATATTTTCGATTTGGTCAATACTGATGGTGGACAATTATTATACTCAAACAACATTTTCCTTCACCCTTATTTAAAAGGCTTAGGACTTTCTGTCTCATCATTTCCTGAATGTGATAGACTGGCGGGCTTAAAAATGTTGTTTTAGCTATTACACATTATTCAAAATGTTTGTCAATTACAATAAATTAAATACAATCATTTTTACAAGTCATTAAAATTTTGTCAAATTACAATAAATTAGGTACAATTATTTTTACAAGTCATTAAAATTTACAAATTACAATAAATTAGGTACAATCATTATTAATTTTTACAAAAGTCATTAAAATTTACAATCTACATAAATTACAGTTAATACAGTTAAATCGGTGTCGACTTGAATTTCCATGAGTATTTGTATGATTTGGTGAATATGAGGGTGGTGGGTATAAAATTGGCTATTAAAGTGCATATGAAAGTTTTCAGCTCCGTTTGTTGTTCTAGGGCTATCGTCTGGTGCACTAGCCCATAATTCTGGCCCAAAATCAGTATCAAAATCAATATAATTTTTTAAAATATAGTCCGGAAAATCCCTACTTAATATATTACTAGGAGCTATTGAGATTAGCTCCGTAAATGCGTCCGGAACTTCATCAGAGTTTAAATAAGGTAAACCAAAAAAATATTTAAGCCACCTTCCGATTTCCGAATCATTTTTTAAGTATTCTTTTAGTAATGTTTTATTTTTTTTTTCAAACGCCTGAACCAACACGCTTGTCCCACACGACTAGTGTACTTGGCGAGTATTAATGCCATTTTTGATAGATAATAACTGATGTGAAATCACGTTATGCTTTAAGACTATATAAGGCTATATTGAAGATACTCCAATAACGGGTGATCATTGATATCAATAATATTGAACGTGTTACATGTTGGACAGCTTAAGACACCCAAAACACCCAAAACTGTACCTAAAAGCTGGTTTTCATTGTTTACTATTTTGTGCGCAAATGAGTTGTCCGTAAATTTAAAAAAATATATTAATATGTGCGCAAATGAGTCTCCACCAGTTTTCTGTATCGATATCGTTCAGATTTTTCCGATATTGTATCGCGATATCGTTATTTCTACGATATCGATATCGTATCATAAATATAATTTTATGTTTACCTAAACAATTAAAAAAAACTTTTCGTATTTATTAATATTTATTATTTATTACTATACATACTTATAAGTTATTACTTATTACTTAGTTATTTTTATTTATAATAAATTTGTTATACATTTTGTTACATTTGTTTTAAATTTTTATATTTTATGTTAACCCTTTTTGACTTCTCCTTAAATGTGTTCAACTGTGATAGCTGTATCCTAGAAATAAATTCATAATTATTTAATATTGTCTTGAATTCAAATTTGAAAAATAAAATGTATGTTCTTACCAAAGTGTGGTCTGACGTCCTAGTGGATTTATAATAAGAGTTCAAAAAGAGAAGATTGTTAACTCGATCTGGAGATAGTCTACTTCTTTTCTTTGAAGTTATATTGCCAGCCTCACTAAACAGACGTTCACATGGGACACTAGTTGCGACTATCGACAAGTATTTTTTTTGCCAAATTTGAGACTTCTGGATATAAATTTGAATTTTATTTCCACCATTTAAGTGGATCTTCGTCACGATGACATTTTTTAGTCATATTCTTGTAGTTTTGCAGTTGTATTAATGCTGTTATCGGAGTTTCAAAACCAATCGAAAATTCGTCTTCATCATCGCTGTCAGCCATTAATGAACGCATTTTTTTGGTAGGTGGATTATCTTCATCTGAGCTAATAACATTTTCTATTTCATTTGCTTTATTTTGATAATTTCTTATTTCTTGGCTCTGTGGATTCATTTCACAAATTTCAGTTTCAAGTTCTTCCCAAATCAAATTTTTTTGCTCGTCGGATATGAATTTTAATTCGCGAAATCTAGGATCTAACGCAACTGCTTTAGATAAAACTGGACTCATCATTTCTCGTCTAATTTTTAAGTCTTGTTACTCAGTTTAACTATCTTTATAAAGTTAGAATCGGTTTCACATGCTTGAACTGTATTAAGAAGACTTTTAATCAGACGGCTTGCTACGGATGCCGTTACGTATTTGTCTCCTCCGAGTGTATTAGTTACAGACTTGAAAGGCTCTAAATCTTTAACCAAATCTTTTAAATTTTGTACTTCTGCTGATGTAATGAACCATTCGTCAGTTTTCTTATTTTTAGATATGACAGAATTGATTGAGTATCTATGTTTTATTACACCTTTCTATCATATGCATGTGAGTTCCATCTTTGACACAATCTTGCACTAATATATTTTGTGGTTCTCCATGTTTTACTTGTTCCTTTTCTAATTCACTTTAAGCTGACGAACTTCTATTAAAGTATCCAACTATCTTTCTTAACTTATTAATCAATTCCTTTGTAACATCATTTTTAAGACCAGCATTTACAGATAGTTGAATTGAATGAGCTGTACACCTTACCAGATTAAATTTCATATCATTAATCGCTTTAACCATGTTCGCAGCCTTATCACAAACAAAAGCCACCACTTTATTTTCAATATCCCAGGTTTTAAGAACGGATTTTAAATTGTTTACTACATTTATAGAAGTGTGTGATTCGGGTACTTCAGTGACTTCCAAAACTCGTGAATGTAAGGACCGATCTGTCAATAAAATGACAAGTTACACCCTAAATAACTGTTATTGAATCAGAAGTCCAAAAATCGATGGTCAAAACTAATATCAGAAATATTTTTTAAAACTTCTTAAAATTATCCCTTTCCAAAAAGTGCTGCATGATCAATTAACCGTGATATTGTTCGTCTACTAGGTGCAGTGTACTCGGGAATACCTAAATCCAAAAATTCACGAAAGCCTTCTCCTTCTACTATACTCAAGGGTCTTAGATCTTTAACTATAAACTTTATGAAACCTTTTGTAAGTTCCTTGTTTCTTTTACTGTAAAGAGTAGTTTTGCTGTAGTCCTTTAAAATATGTCGCAATACTGCTAGTGTTATTTTTTGGTTTCACACCTAAACACTCTCGACAGAATACTTTTTTTTTATCTAATATAACACCACTATCATTAATTGAATTCAAATTTTTCCCAAATAACACTTAGCCCCAGGTAGAGGCACCCATTTGAATTCACTCATCACTAAAAAAATGTTGTAATTTGAAAATAATTATCACTGTAGGATAAATGACAGAAGTATAATGGTCAACGGAGTACGTAACGGGTAACGCCGCACCAACGACACAAATTAGACTGTGGATTATGGAATATCCAGTGGTACCATACCGTGTTCCTCTTAAAAGTCATCAAAATATTCCTTTTAAGATAACATTATAATGGATTATTACTATATAGTGTACAATAATTGACATTTCACCGGAACACGTGCATAAAACGTTATCAACTAATGGTTATTAATGGTTATTATTTTTATTATAACCATTTTTTATTTATTTTTTATTAATTTATTATAGCTATACATATACAAATGTCAAATAGTAAATACAATGTACTTTTCCTGAAAAATATTATTTTCGATATAGGTTAGTTACCTTGGCCCCGCCACTTACGATTTATAAATGGAAATAAATGTCAAATTATGTAATATCATTTGTAATCATTTGTAACCACAAAAAAAAAAATTGTAACCCACCACTTCGGCTCAAAACGAAGTTTCCATGTGGCGGGGCCACGGTCACGTCACTACAGCCCGCCATTTACTCACCCGTGTTCAATTGTTTACCCTGTTAATAACTTTTTTTGAAACTTTTTATTCTTTAAAACAAATGTATTATTTATTTATACCTTTATATTATATATAATATGTTTTTACGTTATAATATTATGTAGCTAATATCTATGTTAATATACTCCATAGTATATAAAGTATACTACATAATATAATAAAATGTTAAAAATATTTTTCACTTCGTCAAATTAAATATTGTGTAAAGTTCATAATCAATAATATCTCAAAAAACAGTCTTACCTTTTTTACATTTTTTAAATCTCTTAAAATATTCGTGTATTTGCGTTAGTTCAGTTCTTGAAATTATTATTTGTAACTATATAATAGTATGTAGGTAGGCGCCTACCTATATCATATTATTGGTGGTTATTACGATATTATTATGTAGGTACGTTTACATATATTGTTCATTACATTGCAACACATATTATATGTTATTAATTGAACGTTTATTTAATACATAGCAATACTTACATTATTTGGTGGCTATTCTTAATGTTTTTTTTAAGTTATGATGGATATAATATAGTTTCACTCATGCATTAAAGAAAATCGATATGGTCACAGAGAAGAGGATCATTTACGTTGTGCAGGTACTTTGTTTCAGTCGGTAAAGCACGATTGAGCATAAAACGATTGAGCATAGACCTTTTTAGCAACACGATTGAGCATAGTATATTTTATGCGATGTTGCCACATTCACGTTGGCAACATTTTGTAATTTATTATTTTCTCGTATTATTACACCAATTATTATGATATCTGACGCGAGCCGTGAGCTTTATCGACTTTATCAATTTTATCGACAATGTTATAAATTATTAATAAATTAGTTCCGGAGCAAAACGACGTTTTAAACATTTAGCATCGGGGGAAAATATAAGATAATTAAGATACAAATCCAAAATTATTATAGAAATAATATCAGTGTTCGATCACCTGTATAGTGTATTGTGCGTGTATACTTAGTGCGTTTTTCTATTTTTTTAAAATATGGATATAACAATTATTTTATCGGAAAGAGGCAAAGAATTGAAAGAAAAGAAAAGCTGAAGAATCAATTTCCACACCGCCACTTAAAATTATTCGCACCGAACTTTTAAATTCTTCTTCAACATCAAATTTAAACAATCAAAATGTTTTGATTTTATTATTTTCATAAGTTATAAGTCATAACTATTATTATTATTTTATTATTAACAAAAAGATCTATATACTGTGACAACTTTTTATAAATATTTTGATTTTATTATTTTCATAAGTCATAAGTCATAACTATTATTATTATTTTATTATCAACAAAAAGATCTATAAATTATACTGTGACAACTATTTACATATTAAATATGAAAACATGATATTTTTTTGTCATGTTATATTTTGAATTATTATAATTATTTAAATAAATGTTTTTATACGATACAGTTCAAAATTGAAAATGGCAACGTTGCAGAGTTTTTTATGCTCAATCGTGTTGGTTTTCTTTTGTATTTTAATTTCCTTTGATACGCCGACAATTTATGCTCAATCGTGTCGCAAAAAAAGGTGTTTTATGCTCAATCGTGTCGCAGTTTGTTTTATTTCAAATGAAAAATATTTAAAATGAACAATATAGGTATTATTTTGTATGAAATAGAATTTCAGCATTAACTTTAAAACTTTTTGATTTTGTTGATACTTGATCCTTTAAATCGTCATAGCATTGCCATTGATCATTTGATCTCAAACCCTATGCTATGTTATAGCCGTATGATTGTCTTAATTCTCTTGCCGATCCATCAAAAGCAATTAAAAGCAATTAGCCTCATAAATCTTTGCACGTATTATTTGAAACCACGATTAAAGATATATCTTTAATGAAATTAATCTTCTTTGAAACTGAGTAAAATATTATATTAGTACCTACTATGAGTCTATAAAACGACAAAATTGAACTTCCAACTTGCAAATTAATGTGCACATTTTCTAGACATAATTCGATAAATAATAAAATGCACTATTCCTAACAAATAGCATAACTTTGATAGAACTGTGGTGGTGGCACCATCTCAACTATACTTTATATATTAAGAATAGTTTATATTTTATTTCAGATACTAGAAGACAGGAGGAATAATATATTGGAATTATACAATCAGTTTGAACCAGAAATAAATACTTTCACTGACAAAGTGAGGGCAATACTGAATAAGCTACCGTTTGAAGTGAAGCGCGTAGACTCTGAAATTGTTATTGAAATTTTCAAGAGGTTGGGATTACAATGGAATGCTACTAAATGGAAAGTAGAAGCATTAAAAAATCAAAATAAAGTAACCTCAGCATTACGTTATATATTTAAACTGGACAGTAAAAAGGTAAAAACACCAATTGAAAAGGTAATGTTATATGAAAATATTGGGCAGGTGTCTGTTGGTGATGATTTTTTGTCAAGTTCTAGGTTAATGGAGACAAGTATAACAATAAATTAGATGCCTGAACATGAATCTTTATTGTTGGAAAAAAAACTCGAGGAGTCGATTATTGATGAATTTATCACTCCTACAAAACGGAATGAAGCAATTGGCATTGTGAAATGTGTTAATGATCAACTATTAACACACAATTGCAACAAAGATATTAAAAGAAAAATATCACAGGTGGAAAATTCAATTACAGATGAAAATACTCCTAAGAAATAGGTAATGTGTGGTTCCAACAGTTATCTGTTGTTGATGAAACTTTGTACAATTTTAGGTTGATACAGAGAAATGAGGATATTATTTAAGTTGCACCTATCTATTCGTCTAGTGTAGAGAATATGTTGGACACTTCAAATGATACTGTATTGTTGGAACAAAGTTGTAAAAAGTCAAATTTTGTATTTGTGACACCTACTCAAAGAATTTTTACGGCAGGAACTCCTAGAAGAAAATTATTTCATGATAATGTAACAGGAAGTTCATTGTTTGAACGTAATAGTTCAATTGATTTACTTAGAAACACTGGTAAAACGAGAGACAAATTTATTAGTCCGATAAAGACTCCGTTAAAACGTTTAAATGATAGACATTTTAATAAAAGGCCTGGGGAGCTTTTACCACGAGGTTCTAAGAATGTGTCTCCTCTAAACATTAAAGGAGAATATTATGAATGCAATTTCAAAGAAGGGGAGTTCATAATTCCAAAAGATGAATGGAATAATATATTTGAAGACGGAAAACTAAATACAAAAAGGTATACATTAAACATGAACTTGTTTCAATTTGCTTAACATATTTACATCTATATAGATACTTTCACTATATTTAATTGGTTTGATTTATAATTCAATTAATTTGTCTTAAAAAGTTGAACATTTTAATAACAATAGTTAAATTAAATCAAATTTAACAATTATTAAGTTAAATATTAGACTGATTATAAGCTGCAAACGGGCATTTTTTATTTATTTTTCTTTATTTTTTCTTTATAAAATAGGATTTAAAATTATAAATTATCATAGGTAATCAGATCAAACGACCTTTATGTTCAATTTAATGTGGAAAGCCTAAAAAAATGAGTACACTGCATATATTTTATTTATATCTAATTACCAGTTTACCTGAAAATAAAATTATCATGCGATATGATACCACATTATAATATTAGACTGATTATAAACTGCAAACGGGCGTTTTTTTTTTTTATATATATAAAAGTTATTTAAAGTTATCATAGGTAATCTGATCATACAACCTCTATGTTCAATTTAATGTGGAAAGCCTAAAACAAAATGAGTACACTGCATTTATTTTATTTATACCTAATTATCCGACAATAATACATAAACCGATAATCACCTTACACACTCACACAGCCTTATTAGATTGTATATAAACAGTCAGCATACATTGATTATAGACAGTGTTAAATCTCGAAATTAACTATTGGACTTGATACATCGTTGCTTCACACTGTTACAAGACTACATAACAAGTATTATACTTTGATCTGGTATTAGTTTTAAAACTAGTATATTAAAAATTTTAACTTACAAATTTTTATTTAAGGTAAAATACAATGTCTTCATATACCAATGTTACTGGAGAAAGCTCGTCAAACGAAGATGTAAGTATTCCCGTTTGATTGTGTTTGTGTGTGTGTATATATTATATATAATATATATATACAGGGTGATTCTTTTATCAAACAACACTCATTATTTGAAAAAGTATTGACTTTTTTCAAATTTTTTTTTTTCAAAATTGTAGATTTATGCTGTTCTAGAATTGTATATTTTTTTATATTTTTCACCCTTATATTTAATTGGTAAACCACTATCAACTTTTGTTTTTCAAATGGTAACCTATACTAAAAATTTCATACTTGAATAAAACTATTTTTTTCATTAATTATTACGTTCAAATTTTCATTTTTCGTTAATCCGTTGATGAGATATTGCTCTTCAAAGTTAGGTGGTTTTTGGAGATAGTTATAGTGTGTAAATGTGTTATACCTCGTCAGTAGATACCGCAGCTATCAGGATTTTTATGTCGAAGGGCAAAAGATATTACACTTTTCAAATCAGTTCATAAAGTACTTAGCGCCCCTAAATGTATTTTATTATGCCCATCTTTCAGAGAGTCATGAAGTTCACCCCACGAAGGTGATTGCGGCACTGGTAGGTGGTCGTAATAATTATTATCAATTATAAATAAGTAATAGTAAATAATAAGTAATGAATTCAATATCGTTCGACCCAAGATATAGCGGTGATAATCTTTGTACCTGATAGCCGATAATACCTACATACAATAACAAACGATCATATTATTATTGGTCTGCTTCTGTTTGTAGCTTAGATCACAATTTAATCTCTATTCTATGCTACGACACACCATAGACTAACATACGGAAATACAGAATTATTTTAGTCCATAAAAGTTAATGTTGTCCATGGTTTATCATTATAACTGTCTATCATACAGAAAATACAGTGTTACCAACATGTGTATTTACAAAATAAATAGTAACTTGCTGTTTATTTATGTCACAAATAAAATCCCGTTTTTGTTACTCTAGTAGACTGCCTGTACTACAGTTGCAACAACTGTTAACTGTTTTAAATCACAGGTACAGTAATTTATTGTCTGTTGTCTGTTACTCGTTACTGACTATTATAATTTATAGCATGGTGCCGTGGCGTCAAGCCGTCAACGACCAATACTACTAAGTAGTAATTAGTAATTAGTTAATTACTAATTAGTAATTACTGGTGTGCTACAGTAGTAAACTTAATAAATTTCACATTTTCATTTTTCACAATAATATTATCATAATAAATAATATTCTGTGCCTTTGTAGTTTTAACGAACTAGCTGATCTAGTTAACTGGGAGCTCTAGTTAGATATTTTAATATGTTTAATTTACCAACTTACTTATTTTGTTATTTTCAATAAAATTCCAAGACCAATTTATTAACTTGATGTACATGTGCCTACCAAAAATTCATTCGTTCGTAAGTATAAGAATTCATATTAAATATAAATTTTAACAAACTTTGATTAAGAATGGAAAAAATGTAACATACATTAATATTATAATACATACACATTAATTATAATACATAAATATATGTATTTGTATACAATTTGAATAAAAAATACATGTTATTTATATTTTAGCTTATGTTCAAATTGCTTGCCATCTTTAGTTAAACAAAAATGTAGACGTTTTAATACTTCAGAGGAAATAGATTTTTTCAATATTGAGTTTTCAATTTTGTTGCAACAATCTCTTATTCTTTGTTTAAGTTCCTCCACACTATTGCATTTTTCTTTATATACTTCATTTTTTAGATGGCCCCAAAAAAAGAAGTCAAGAACACTCAAATCGGGGGAACGAGGTGGCCATTGAATAATGGGGCTGTGAGTTCCAAACCAGTTATTGTCTCCATACATCTTATTGAGGTATGCACGTACAGCCAAGGTATTATGTGCTGGTGCACCATCTTGCTGCCAAATCAAATTCAAACGTTGCTGAAGTGAAATATTTTCCAATAGTATGGGTATATCATCTTTTAAAAAACCAAGATACTTATTGCCATTAAGATTATCCTCAAAAAAATATGGACCAATTAAATGCTCATCAATAATCCCACACCAAACATTCACACTCCAACGAACTTGCTTATTGGTCTCATTTATCCAGTGGGGATTTGAATGATTCCAATAGTGATTGTTGTGGTGATTTACATGTCCATTATTGTGGAATTTCGCCTCATCAGTCCAAAGGATATTTGTTAAAAATTGAGGATCCTCTTCTAATTTTACCATGCAATGTGCAATAAAATTGAGTCGCCTTTCATAATCACTTGCTAGAAGCTGCTGAACAGGATTAGCCAGGTATGCATGGTATTTATGTTTTTTGGCAATTCTTTGAACTGAAGAATATGTCATGTTTAATTCTTCTAAAATTTAAAAAGTAAAATAGGTACTTATTTTATTTGTTAATTTAGTAACCAAATACCTGCTACAGTTCTCAAAGATATATGAGGATTTTCAATCAATTTGGCCAACTCCGAAAATGAATTATGGACATTAATGACTGTCGAAACTCTACTTTTTGGTTTTATAAAACTTCCATATTCTTGCATATTTTTGTACAGAACATAAAATCTTGTATGTTCTGGAGAAGGACGATCAGGATATCGGGTTTTATATAATCTATAATTAATATAACACTAGATGTATAATATATGTAAGTAGTTAAATGATATCGTTCCTGGCACAGCACCTTTAATAATAATATATCAGTAAAAGATCACAAAGAAAACAATGTGCAAAAAGATCAGAAAATTGAAATGCAATAATAATAAAAATATTTTTTCGCAAAAACTTATGAAATGAAATAATAATAAAAATATTTTTCGCAAAACTTAATTATTAAAAATAAAAATCGAAATGCAATAATAATAAAAAACATTTTTTCACAAAACTTATTAAATGCAAAACCCCCCCAAAATATTTTTCATAATACTTATGATATTAATAATTAAAATCAAAATGAAATATAGTGTTTTAAAAAATATTTTAAATGAAATTGAATACCTTAGTTAAAGGAATTGATATTTATAATAAAAGAATGGAAACTATAAAAAATTATAATAAGTTACAAGAAATCGAAATGCAAAACGAAGTAGAAAATTATATATTAAATAAAAAAATAAAAAAATGTTATGTGCAATTTTGTGCTTTTGAATATTATGAAAATAATAAAATATAATCTAAATGAAATTCCAATTAAAGGAAAAATTTTAATCATCGGGAACCAATCAGAACCAACTTATGTTTCTAAATGTCTACAATCACCAACTTGGGTAGAACTTTGTAAAATGATCAAATGATCAAATAATTACAAACAGTCCAGATTCATTCAAATATCTCTATAATTTTAGTGTAATGAAAACTTTAGGAGATATTAAAATATGTTCTTTTGGTATGGCAAAACTTAGAATATAACTATATTAATAATTTAATTTTTTAATAGAATTGTTCTAGAAATGTTCAATATTTAACGTGTGTACCATTCGGACACGCGTTATTAAAATCCAAAAATCTTTAAAAACGATTTTACACTGTGATACTATGAGGGGGACTTATAAAGAATTAAAATCAAAAATTTTTAATGTAAAAATGAAGATTCTAACATAAATAGCAACGGAGTTATACTTAAATGAAAAATATGAAGCGGGGGGTAAACTTTTAATATGTAGAGTAGATAAGCATATAAAACATATCTGTGTTGTTCCGACTTGATAATATCAAATATTAAATGAAATATAGGACTTGTATTATTTAACAAGGTCAAATTATACGACCGTGTTAATAATAATTTAAATCGAAAAAAAAACACAAACAATTTGCAAAATATCTGTGCTGTACAGACATCCAGAATGGTGGCCATCTCTCACTTTTTTTATTTATTTATTTTTTTTTTAACTGGCTGTCTGTACAACAGAGAGGATATCATATACGTCAGTCTTTGGCACGGGGCTGCTCTCTGCTATCTCGTCCATATAAAATTATGATTCGGTTATCGTCGCCATAATAGAGAAATTCCGCTATGAGCGCCACATATGCGTTCGCCCAACAAAATCGCAACAACCGTAAAAATACGTGAACATTTACTATTAGGTACTAGGTATATAGGTAGTTTATTGTAAAATTTTTTTATATTAATTTAATTTCATTATTTATCATGCCGGGACACAGGTGCATCGTACCAGGATGTAAATCTGGTTACGACTCCTGTGTCAATAAATACCATTTTTTCACTGTCCCAAAAGATCTGGCTAAACTTGAACTATGGAAAAAAGCTATACCGAGGAAAGAATTTGTATTTAAACCAAGGCAAGTGGTTTGTGAATTACATTTTCACGAAGAAGATATAATAAGGACAAAAAAAATTACAGACATAAATGGGAAAATTGTCGTAGAGGTATTGTACCGCTAACTAGTCGAGACAATTTATATAAAAATATACAGGGTGTATCTTATGTCATTGTACGCGGGGTTTTTTGCCGATTACGGAACGATGATATGGAATTTCGTTAAAACAAAAAAGACGTGTTTCTTTATTTTTAACAAGCAATTTTTTTATAACAATTTCAAAATTTTTAAACACGCAGGTGTACCAATAGCAAAGTCAACTTTCTTTTTTCAAATGGTAACCACTATATTTTTTAATGGACTCTGGTAAAGCTTCTTTTTCTGAACATTTTGGTAGTCGAATCGTCAATTTTGGTTCGCTAGTTTATTAACTATGGCCCTCCAAAGATTAGTAAAATATGCATTAATACTTTTAATTAAAATAATGGGTATAGGTTAAATTAACAAGCGCTGAACAATTTTTTCTTATAACTACCATTTGATACACTACAATGTAATGCTGAAACAAAAAAAGAAAACATGATAAAGAAAAAGGTTTCAAAATTTACTTTAAGTTAGGCATTACTTATTTAAGTTAAGTAAACTTAATTTGTACATAGTACCTAGTGTTTTAAATAAAAAAATTAATTAATGCTTCATTACAATAGTTTGTGTTTTGTAAATATTTTTTCAATTAATTTATTACCTACTAGTTTTATTTTCTGATTTATTAATACCTACCTTTATTTTATCATCCCATGCCTACATTAATAAAATAGTTAATTTTATTCTGGTCTGGATAAATTATTTTAGATATTAATATGTTCAACTAATTATTGGGTACAAAATATTTTTATTTTGCTATATACTTAAAAAAAATACGGCTTTTTTGATATTTAAGAAAGTTTTGTTTTTTAATTCTTGATTTCATTTAGTTTTAACAAGTATGCAGTAGGACAGTAGGTACAATATATTGTAATTTCAATACTATATTTTCTGATGAACCTACCTATAATGAAAATTTTTAATAAATATTATAAATCATTATTACTTAACCTTAACAAAATAACTGCACCAGACTACTGACTACTGATGTATTCGATATTATGATTTATGAAAGTATGAAAGAATCATTAAAATGTTTGCATAATCTTATTCCCGAATTTCAATCATTATTAATTATAATAACAACTCTTATTTTATTTTTAATCGGTGAAAATACTTATAAAGTAAGATTATTAAAATTTTTTACTATAGTATAGGTACTATACAACATGATATAATTAATTAAGATAAATAAATAAATGAATAAATCGAAGTATTACTTGTTTATATACGCTAATTACGCTTCTACATTGGCGGCAATAGGGCGAACGCACAGTAGCGACCCTAGCGGATTATTATTGAAATGGCGACAATAAGCGAATCACACTGGTCGAGCAGTAGCCAGTCCTTACTATTGTATGTTCGTGGTCTTTGGAGACTGAGATAGATAGAAATCAAGGTGATAACGTAGGCCGCACCACGTGACTACTTACATTTGCATGTAAATCCATAGATAATAAAGATATGGATAGGCCATGGCTATATTAACACTGTTAGAGATCGCGTTCTTTTTTGTGGGAGAGAGAAAATAGCTTTAAGAATGTTCTCTCTCTTGCATGGGGTACTATTTAAGGTTATGTTCAAACTTCAAATAATAATTGCCGTCCGCCGGTATAATATTATGAAATATTCTAAATTTCTAGTATGGAATTATAATAATAATAATATAATATACCTATGACTTTTGAGTTTTGAGTAGTTTTTGGCATTATATTAATGATAAATGTAATAGGCGTAGTTTTAATATATTATTAACTATTATAATAGTATACTACCTAACTATAATAATATTTTGATACCTATTTAAAAATATGGTGCATTCATGTGTTGTTTGTTTCACAAATTCTAAAAACAAGACTGAAGATATTTCTTTCCATCTGTAAGTATTGTAATACACTAATACCTAATTACATAACCAAGTAGTTTACCCTATATTTTATTAGCCTAAATAAACATCTTGGAATTAAATGTATTTTACTTGTTGTTTTTATACTCACCTAACATTTTATTTGTAATCCTAAGATTTCCTAGCGACTTGACTAGAAAACATTTGTGGATTCATACACTTAATCTTAAAGTACCTATTTCTAAATGGCACAGAGTATGTAGTAAACATTTTGCAAAGAAGAGTTACATCTTTAGCAATAGTAGAAAAATTTTGCATCCCAAAGCTGTTCCGTTAAGGTAATGTTTGTATTTATTATCCTATTTATAGTTTATGTTTATTTAAAGTAATTTTTTTATAGCTATTCAGAAACTGTTGAAGATGATGTATGTAATTCTATGAAGTTAAATTACCAGAGGTAAATATTATATAATATTTTAATTATAACCAACTTAATTAATCATGTATATTTTATACCTATTTATTTTTAGTTCAGCTGAAAATATAATATTTGGTTTTTCACCGACTAGTACAGTATCAACTGATGTGTGTGAAGTATTTCCTGAGAGGTAAATTTAGTAAATAATTTTTTTATTATATTAACTGAGGAAATATTTTTTTATATAGCAATGTAGAAATCGTTGATGAATGTAATTCTATGCAGTTGAATAACCAGAGAGGTAAATATTATATAATATTTTAATTATAACCAACTTAATTAATCATGTATATTTTATACCTATTTATTTTTAGTTCAGCTGAAAATATAATATTTGGTTTTTCACCGACTAGTACAGTATCAACTGATGTGTGTGAAGTATTTCCTGAGAGGTAAATTTAGTAAATAATTTTTTTATTATATTAACTGAGTAAATATTTTTTTATATAGCAATGTAGAAATCGTTGATGAATGTAATTCTATGCAGTTGAATAACCAGAGGTAAATTTTATATATTTTAATTATAACCAACTTAATTAATCTTGTATACCTATATATTTTTAGTTCGGGTGAAAATATAATATTTGGTTTTTCGCCTACTAGCACAGTATCGACTAAGGTTGCCAAAGTTCTATTTCCAGAGAGGTAAATATTTTGATTTTAATTGATGAGATATGATTTATTTATCAATTTGAATTTTTGTAGTCCTTCAACATCTGTAAATCAGTTTCCATCCCATAAAAAAAGAAAGAAATTCTGGAATTCTAGTAGAATGGGGGACCTAGAAGAAGATGATTTCTCCACACCAAAAAGAAGAAAAAAAAATTTTATGATGGTTCAAAAAACTGTATCCAATCTTCGGTATAAAAATAAATTGTTGCATCAAAAAAATCGTAGACTGCAAAAGAAAGTTGAAAGTTTGAATGAAATGATTAGTGTTCTTAAAACAAAATCTATGCATTTGTACTGACCTTAAAGGAAATGACAGACACAAAAATTTTTTTAAAAAAAACACATATTATATCATACAATTATGATGATAATAAAAAAAGCTTTAAAAAAGCAAAAAATTATTTGAATGTTCGGCATCAAAAGCATCTAAATTGTGAATACAAAATGAAAATGAATATATAATATACTTACCTACGCATTGGCTACATTAAAATAATATTAATGTAATTTGTGATTTCCAATGAACAATTGAGCTAGATAGGTACTTGGAAATGTTAATCACCCTTCTGCTTGGGAAAAATAAAAAGTTGTACACAGTAAACTGTGTTAAAATTGTTGGACATTATCAAAACTTATTCACATAAATGTTAATAAATATAATTTTTTTATGGTAATAAAATAATTAGGCGTGGCTACATGATTAAAAATTAAAATATGCTAATATTCTGTTTGAAGAATGTATATAATATATTATATTGTCTGATGTATAATATCCGCTACAAGCAAACAAGTTATTAGTAATAGATTTATAAATCCAAAAATATTAATAACAATATTTAATATTGTGGTAGGTAGGTACATGATATTGGTACCTATAAAGACTATAACTTATAAGCTACAAATCATTGGTGCAAATATGGGGGGAGAGGACTTAATCCTCCAATTCAAAGGTCCGTACTTATGTAACGTACCAACCACTTCAACTCAATATTGATGGTATTTTGAATTAAAATAACAAGTTGATGGTATAATGATGGTTTATTTGTATTTATTTAACACGAAAAATATTCTAAGTCTGACGCGTACTTGTGGGCCGCGTGGGTGATGAGGTGCTTGTGGTGATCGACGGTGAGCAGTCGAGTCGGAAAACAAACAAGCGAAGTACAGAAGTACAAAGAAAAGAAACAAATAACGCACTGACAGGTGATGGTTGTGACTTTTTATTGGTTCAGCAGTTACTGTCAATATTCAATATAATCTAATACACAAAAAAAAAGAGAAATATCGAATCCGCGAGTTCGTGCAAAAAGACGGCGGCGATCAGTCTCGGTCGGAGTCGTGAAGACGAGAGAGCGCGCCTTGGCAATCCGGTTCGCTGGACGGCCGGCCGACGGTTCCAGGCGCGCGTGTCGCGCGCCGGCGTCGTCCGTCGTCGGTTGGCGGTTTGATTGAGAAGCCGCGGCGTTGGTTTTCCGGCCGTTACGGCGGTCTGCGTTGTCATGAGTGGTGGGTGGTTGTGGTGGGTCAGTGGGTGGATGGTGGTTGTGGTAGACACCTGTCCGAGGGTACGTTTTCCGGCTGTGTTCAGCGGACGTAGCCCTGGCGGTGTCTAATCGCGTTTCGGCGATGTGGGGGGCTGTAGTACAGTAGACTGACGTCCATGTCCTCTTGGTCAGCCAGGTGTGTGCCCGTACCTCCTAACAGCTGTGCCTCCTCCTCCGGGGATATTTCCATATCCTCGGGTTGAGGGGTGGCAGCCGCTAGTTGATCCGTGGCTCCGGTCGCTCCGGAAGTGTGTGTCACTTCCGGTACCGTGACCACGGTGAGGTGCGGGGACGCTGGCCCTGGCTGTGACAGGACCGTCTCTGGGCCTGGGGCTGGGGGTGGTGCCGGCTTTTCCAGGCGGTGTTGTTGGGATGCCTGTTGTTGTTTGGCCATGTGGTCCCGCTTCCGCTGCTGGTTCCGGCGTTGGCGGGCGTTCAGC